GATGCTTTATATTTACTGTTTTTATAAAATAAAGTTTGGGTTGTTACCAAATTTTATTTTTTTGTTTTGGAAAATCAATATAAAATTTTTGGAAAATGTTTTTAAAAAGTTGAGAAGAATGTTTATAGTATTGAGATTGTTCTTCAAAGTTATTAGATTTAACTTTTTTTTCTTTTTTTGATTGTTCTGCTTCATCTAAGTAGATGCAGTCAATATCTGTACAGGAAAGGATATGATAATTAGTATATTTAATTGCTTCATCATAATGTTCTTGTAAGTTGTTAGGTTTTGTGAAACTTAGTTTAATAGGTATAATTTCTTTAAGATAAAAAATGAATTTTTGTTGAAATTGGTATTTAAGTGTATTAAAAACCTTAGTTTCATTTATAGGTTTGGTAAATTGGTAATTATATAATAAGAAAAATTGTTTAAACTACTGTTTAAAGTAATTAAGTAAATTTTTAAGAAGTGGGATGTTAAGTTTTGTAAAAAAAATAATTTAAGAATGTTAAATTTAAGATATATATTAAATTTGCTATCAGAGCTAATTGTAAGATATTGTCTATCTTTGTTGAAGTCAACTACTTTAGATAAGATTCTAAACCTTTTAAATAGAAGTTAAATATCTTCAGCAAATTTAATATAGTTAATAGCTTAATAGTTGTTTGTAAGATAAAGGTAAAGACATGCAAGATTGATACAGAATTGTAATCAGTTTGGACTTGTGTAAGAAGAAATAGTTGCAGATGAAGCAAATATTTTTGGATAGTTATGCTTTATAAAAAATATAGTAGTAAATATAAAAATTAGTTTTTTTAAAGTTTTTTTAAGTACATTAAAAGGAATAGTTATGGCTTTGTTAGTGTTTGGATTGTTTTTCTAAATAAACTTGACTAGAAATTGGGGTCTTTCTCCTGCCATTTTGCAGATTATATAGTAGAAGCTAGCTTTAAGAGCTAGTTGATCACCAAATTTAGGTTTAATTTAGTTTTAGGTTTGAAGTTAAATAGGTGTTGTTTAAGAAAATTAAAGATTTTTTTTGCAAAATCTGTTTGCAATTGTAATTTATCTTTCATTTCTTCAGTTACAGAAAAGTTGGCAAGCCAATTGAATATTAGGTTGGCTTTGATTTTTTGTTAGTTGTTGTTAGTGTTAGATTGTGTTTACTGTTGTTGTTGTTTATTTAGTTGTTATTGTTGTTTGTTTGATTGTTGTTATTGTTGTAATTGTTTGTTAGAATGTGATGATTGTTAGTTATCATTGTTAATTGTATTGTTGTTCAAGTTCATAGCATTTGGATTGCTAGTATGACTTGCAAGTAATGTTGTTAAAGTAAGTTCAAATGCTAGTAGGTTATAGGAACTGATTGTTTGTTAGAGTTTTTGGATAAATATAGGAAAGAAACTTAATTGTTAAATAGGTTGTTGAATATTTGTATATGTTTTGTAATAAGGTTTGTTATTGTATAAAATTGCATCTACTGCCAGATAATATTAGTTGTTTATTTCTTTGTAAGCAATAGATAAGTTGTATTTAGCATATTAATAGTTGTGTGTAATAGGTAAGGATAATGATGTAGGTGATAGTAAGATAAATTTAGTAGAGTTTGTAATATTGTTTGCTAATAATTTTTTATTTTTAGATTTTTTATTAATAAAAATAACTTCTTGTTGTTTGTAAATTTGGTTAGTAGTTGAGATAAAGTAAGTATGAAACTTGTTACAAAAGCATGTAATAATAGAACTAGATTTAGGTACTTTAAATTAATGACAACTTTTAGTTATGCCTCTAATTTCTGTAATTAAGCAATTGTTTGATTGCTTGTTTGCAGAGATAGGACATGATGTATTAGTTGCATCTTCAAGGATACCAATACCAAAGTTTTTAGAACACTTTTAGTAAAAATAATCCAGATCGATGATATCAAGTATAACTGTTATCAAGATTGGTATTTTGTTCTAAAAATAGATCTTTAAATATGGTTTACAGAAAAATTTGTTTAATTTAGAAGTTTCTAAACTAGTTAAGAAAGTTTGGAAAAATGTGTGAGCTTCAGATAAGCTTATTGGATGTTAAAAAATTCCAATAAGTATCAGAAAAATGAAATTTTCAAGAAAACCTTGTAAGTTTTTCTAAAATGCCAATGAAAAAACCTGCAAAGAACAAGTTTTTGTTTTCACTTTTTGCTTATATTTCTGAGTTTTAATCTATTATAGATAAATTATATATCAAAATGTTTGTCTCAATAAGCTGAACAATTTTTAAATAAATAAAAAATATGTTTTATTAGTAAAATTTTGTAAAAATAAACAAAAACCAAAATTTTGGTTTTTTAAACTTTTCTAATAGTTAAATGTTTTTGGAACTTAAAACATAGCTGCCTAGGAGAAGAAAAGTATGCTGAATAACTTTACTTAAGAAGCAAAATAAGGTTTACTTAGTAGAAAGTTAAGAAATAATTAAATATTTTTGTGTAGTTTTAGTATAAGTGATTTATGAAAAGAGTTATTTTTTAATTTAATTGTAAATTAAAAGTTTTTATATGACAAGAATATATATATTTTTATTTAAATACTATCTTGTATCATGTTTTATTAGTTTTTTAAGTTCATATAATGTTAATCAGAAGTTTATCAATTTTGATTTTATTTAAATAAAAAAATTATACTTAAATGTTGACATTTATACTTTCATAAAAAATTAGTTTGTTTAAATTCAATAGTGATTATAAAGCATTGAGTATAATAATGGTTTCATTTATAAAAAAGGTTTAATTAGAGTTAAATATATATGTATATACATACTATTTTTATCTTCAAAATTCAGTTTATCTAACCTTAATATATAGCTAATATATGAGTATTTCTAAAAAAAAATTAGAAATAGTTATTTTACTTCTTATAACAATGCACCTACTTAATTCATTGTTGTAAACATGCATTGATCCTCTTACAAGATAAGTACATTAATATATATATATTTAAACTTTTACTAATACATATGTATATATTAATACTTATATAATATAGTATTACTGTTATATTTAGATACAAAAAACAAATATTTAAACAGTATTTTAAAATTTGATATTTTTTTTTAAGAAGGTTTCAATTTGGTTTATAATTATTTACTTATAATGCTACCTTCAAAATAGCTAATAATCTATTTTTACAAAAAAAAATAATGCAAAAACAGATATAAAAAACTATTTAAAGACTTAACTAAATTATCAAAATTAAATCAAATAATGTAATAATATTAAAAAATTATGATGTTAGCACAGTATATGTCTAATTTTTTTTTTGTATTACAAATACTTATAATATAAAAATATAATATTATTCTTATTAGTCTTGTATACAAGTTGTTTACACTATTTGCAAGTGAACATGAGCATCAAGTGAAGCTTTATCATAAAGTTCAACTTGAAGTAATTTTGTATGCAAAAACTATCTCAAATCGTAAGGCTTCTCTATATTATAAAGTTGACTGAAGGTGTATAAAAAAGTGGTACAAGCAAAAACAAGAGTTTAAAAGTATTAGAAATAATAAAGATTTAAATATAACACAAATGCAAGTTTTTGAAAATTATAATCATAAGATAGCATACTCTATATTAGAAAAGAAATTAATAGAGTTTGTCAAAAAAAGAAGGAAAAAAAAGAAATAGTAACAACATTAATGATTATCAAAAAAGTCAGAAGTTTAGATGAAACTATGAATATTAAAAATATGAAATTTTTCTGTAATTGAACTGAATAGTTTAAGTAATAAAATAAGTTAGTAAAACATGCTTAAACATAAGTAGCTCAGAAAATTTCTAAGAATATGCCTGTGGTCATTAAAAATTTTCTTAAAATGTTACATGAAAAAATGCATGTCATTGAAAAAATATATATTTTATCATTTAATAAAACTCCTATATGGTTCAATATATTATAGAATTCAATAATTAATTTCAAAAGTACTTGTGAAGTCCAGTCAAGACTATCAGCAATGAAAAATTACAATTTATTATAGTTTTAGGTTATACAGCAGTCAGAAAGAAACTTTCACCTTTAGTAATCTTTAAGTTAAAAAAAAGCCAAAAGGCAGGTTTTCACAAAACATTATAGTAGCATCAGCACTATCTTCATAATTGAAAATTTAATAATTTCTAAATATATTCTCTAAATTATTAGAGCTAGACTATATGAATTTTTTAAAAACAAAGAAATAATTTTTGTAGATGCATATTATAGCTATAATTATGATAATATAACTAGAGTATTGAAAGCAAAAGGCTTAGATATGTTATAAATATCTAGAGATATCAACTGTATTTTACAACTACCAAATGTTTTTATTAACAAGCTCTTTAAAAACAGTATTAGTAAAAAATTTTATTAAATTGATGAAAAAAATGTTAAAACTGTTTTTTTTTTTTTTATTACTATCTCTAGGTATAAGAAATAAATAGAAAAAATAGATAAATAAAAGAAAAAAAAATATATACCAAAAAAAAAAATCAAAAAAAGTAATATATGAGCTTATGTGTAAATATATGTTCAAAACATAGAAAAAGATTAGCCCAAATCTTTTAATTAAATTTTTTGAAACCACTAGATTTACACTTAATTCAAATAGTAGTAAAGATGATAAGATGTCAGACCATCTCAAGACTATTGTTAAAAATTTGTTAAATGATTAAAAATACACAAACAGAAAACCCAAATAATAATAATAATAAGGTTGCAATTTACTGTGATTTTATATAATTTTATAAAATTTTTTACAAGTTTTCAGTAACAGTTTTTATGTAATTTGTATTATATGCTTATATGATTAGTTGGCATTAATTTAATCAGTACAGAATCTACTGTAGTTCAATAATGCTAACTGTGTTTTTCATAATATATTATGTATGAAATTTACATAAAATTTATGTTACTGAAGCTTACATAAAATTATATATATTGTAATTTTGTAAAATGTAATTTTTAACTCTAAATAATGATAAGCCATATAATAATGGTCTATATTATGATAAGCCATATTATAATGAGCCAGATTGTGATAAAATTGATGATAAAGAAATAGATTATAAGCTGAATGATAGTAAAATAGATTATAATTCAAATAATAGTGAATTGAAATATTTGAATGAAAATATTATAGACATAGATAGTTATAATATTATAGATATAAATAGTTATGAAAAAATACAGACAATCAAAATTAATTAATAATAGCAATTAATTAATGAATAAATTTTTTGAATAACATTTACTCTTAGATTTAAAAAATGGCATAAATGCTTATTGCTATTTTTTTTTTTATACTTTATTATTTTTAAATCTAAATAATTTATATAGGTAAGCAATTAATTACTGTATTTGTTATTATTTAAATATTTAACTAATAAAACAACTACTTTAATTATAGTAACTTATGTTTTTATGATTTTCTATTATATTAAGTTCAATTAGTATATTTAATATTACAAAACAAATAATAAAACATATTAGATTAGGCAATGCATCAGTAATCAGCTAGAACATTTTAAACTAATTAAAAGTCTAACTCTTACTAGACATATTGTATATTAGTAAGTTTTTAAATTATTAATTTTAATTTATATAAAAACTTTATAGAGTATAATAAAAAAAATATTAAGAATTGCTTGCAGACTTTATTGGATATAATAAAAAATATGAAGAATTACTTGCAAACTTTATAGAATATAATGAAAGAATATAAAGAATTATTTGATACTTTAATAAATAAAGGTATATTATTATAAACTTAAATTATTATTTGAAAATTTTAAATTCAAAAATTATCTAAATAGTATAAGTGTTTTATGTTAAAATTTATAGAATAATTTTTTTGTCAAACTAAATCTATTAGAAATAAAATTAAAATAAAAAAAATAAACATTCTATAAGATATATCATATTTGCCAAAAAAATAAATATTAATTAAAAAGATATATTATAAGCTTATATATTTCAAAAAACCTAAAACTTAGGCTTATACATTATATATAATACATTATAGCTTTTATTTGTTTAATATCAGAAATAAATTAAATAATTTAATTTAATTATTATACAAATCTTTTATTATATACTGTAAAATTATAATCCATTTATCAAACAATAAAGTCACAAAATATAGTAAGCTATCTTAGATTTAAATCATAAGCAAATTATATAGATTCTATAAAAAAGTAATTATATAAGCTTCTTATTGCATTTTTGAATAATGCTAAAAACTAATTTCTAACTTATGTTAAGATTTCACAAGATTACTTATCAAATGGTTTTTTTATAACAAATAAAGCTTCATATCAGAGTTAATAGAGTATTTCAGATTATAATAAAACATATAATCTTTCATAAAATGCATCAGAAAAGAATATGTTTTATTATATTCTGAAATGCTTTATTAACAACTCTACTTAGTATGTTTGCAATCTATTTTAATATATTATTATTAATAAAGTTATTACTCTTTCAAGCTTTTGCTTAAACAGATCAGTCATATTTTGCAATTACAAATCTTTAACATATAAACAATAGAGTAAATCTTAAATCTTCATCTGTAAGGGCCTACTATAATAATATTATTATTATATAATTAATCCTTCATAAATGCACCCTCTTTGGAACTATACACAAAATATTTAAAAATATGCATTTGGTAAGGGTGTATGCTTATGAAATGCATTTTTTTAGTATTATACAGTATATATTTAAGATAGAAGATTAGTGTGTATTTAGAAAGAATATATATAATATAAAAGGTGCATATATGAATATTAACTGTATACAAATAAAATTCTAATTAGAATATATATTCAAGAATTTTATATAAGAGGTATGCATTATTTCAACATATGCATAGGCATTATTTTGAGATTATATATAAAAATTTAGAAGATCCAAATTTTTTAAATAATACTTATAAGTATTATTATGTAAAAATACAGTATAGCAAAAATATTAAAATACAATATACTAGGTAGCTTATAAAAAGAAAAAATAAAATTTGTTAAAAGATTGTTAATGTTTAACAAATATGTTAAAGATATTAAAAAACTGTTTAAAAGAGATAACACTTAAATTATTGTCATATTTGATTGCAAATATAGCAGAAAAAAAGCAATTAGCAAAATCTAAAGAAAATACAATGACTAGTTTAAAATGATTCCAGATATAAATGAATCAGAGGAAGATAAAATTAAGGAAATAAAGAAATTAAAGCAAAAAGACAAACTGGAAAAAATAAAATAAAATAAAAAGAAAGCTAGAAGAATAAAAAACAAGTTTTTTAACTAAGAAAAGAAAAACACAGACAAAGAAAGTAAGAAAATACAATAGTATTAATAGTATAAAATTTGCTAAAAAAGATATCAGAGTATGAAATTAAATACTTAGTAAGAAAGATAGATGAGATAACAAGATGTAAGATTAAAAAAAGTATATACAAAACAATAGTAATAATAAAAGTAAAAAAAAAAAATGAGCAAACATTTTTGTAAATAATTCTTTTAAGAAACAGAAAATTGTCAAAAATAACAATAGGCAAAAAAGAAGAAGAAATAAAAAAAAAAACCCCCAATTTATTGCAAGATTGAAAAGAATACCAAAGGGAACCTTTAAACTATTTCTTCGAGAAATCAAAGTCAGAAAGGCAATAGAAAGGTAAATTTTAGCTAAAAAATTATAAAAAACTTAGTTGTTATTAACTTAAACTTATCTAATGTCTATTAAGCTTTGTTTAGTTCTAATATTAGTTACTAATCTATTTGTATAGAAAGTAAATTTCTTATATAACAGGTTGGTTTAAAAGATTTCTTTAAGTTTATTTAAACAGTTATTAGATTTAAAAATTTTTGCGATAGTTAAATTTAGTATATTAATAGTAGAATAGTTATATAAAATTGTAAAGAATGTTTAATTGCTATTAAATAAATAAGATTAGATAATTGATATTGAGTTTAAGTTTAGGAGTTATTTTTTCTAAAAAGCTAGTACAAATAGTTGCTAAAATGTTAATTATGCATGTTTAGTTAATTCTGTTTAAATTAAGATAGCATCTAGTATATAGTATACAGTACAGATTTGAAAGAGAATAGTAGTAATTGTGTTTTAAATCAATATTGACATTCCAATATAATATAAAAAACTGGTTTGTGTTTGAAAAGTATTTGTGAATTTTGCTAATAATGATTTTGTTATTATCATTATTATAAGTAAGTAATCAAGGTTTCAGTTTTTTTTAATTAGTAAACTGTTATATGCAAAAGCATTAACTTCAAGAAATTAAAAATAAAAAAAAATTAGATGATGTAGTCTATTAGATAGAATTATGTCTTCAAATAAATAAACCAAGAAGGTTGCTTTTTTTTTTGTTAAATAATAGAATCTTAGTAAAAGATAATGCTATTTAAATATTATGCTATTGTTTGCAATACATAATTGTTTTAAATAAAGTATATTGTTTTTGTAAAGTTGTTTTTTAAAAATATGGTATTTGGAATATTAATTAAGTATTAGTTCTAGCAATTGGTAACTATTATAAATAGTATTAGACCACAAAATATTAGAATTTGCTAAGATTAAAATACTAAAATGTTGTAAAAGTTATATGATTTTAAAGTTAAGTATAAGTTTGTTAAGTTTATTTATAAGTAGTTGGCTATGCTGAAGAATATTAATAGCAGACCAGAAGTTGTTGTAATCTAATTTTAGTAGAAATACTAAGAATTTTTAAGTTATTAATTCTTTGTTAGAAGCAAGTCATATAATGTTGTAGTTGAATATTCCAAATATTATAAACATTATATATATAAAAGTTTAGCATAATGCTGTTGAGGCTAGTACAGAAAAGTTTTCTTTATATTTGATTATAATAAAGTATTTGAATAAAAGTTTATTATAAGTAGAATGTTTAAGAATAATATTGTATAGTTTGTATTTGATAATAGAAATAATTATAGTATTAGTAATATATATTGCTTGTTTGTTTGTAATTTTTTTGATGCTTGTAATATTAATAAGTTAGATTGCTTTATTATAAATTAGTTAACTTTGTTTTGTATATAAATTATTAAAGGTAAACCAATCTTCTAAAAATTTGAATAGTTGGTTAGCAGAAATTGGTATAAGTAATAGGCTAAAGAAATAAATAGAAACTGTAGATAATATATTTGAGATAAGGATTAATTTAGTTGAATTAATTTGAATGTCAGTTATATAATAAAAAGAAATAGCTGTAGTAATAATTAATTGTAATTCTTCTTTAAATTTGGCAATCCAAAATGTATCATCTATATATGCTAATACAGATACAAAGGTTTGAAGTTGTTAAAACTTTGATCAAAGCAAACTAGTATTCACTTTGTGGCCAAAGTGTATCTTAAAAAGTCTAAGATTATTTTGTTTATAAGAGGGTTATAGTAAATTCTTTAGAACAGTGAGTTATAGTTTTGTTTTAATTAATGTTAGTTTTTATATTGTAAAAGTTAGTAAGATCTAAATTTGTAATAACCTGATTATGTCAATTAGTAAGTAAGTTAGTAAAAATATTAATAAGATTAGATGGCATTTGGAGATATAATAAAAATTAGATAAAAAATATAAGGTCTACAGAATCATAAGCTTTGCTCATGTCCTAAAGTAAAAGCCAAAGTTGTTTTAAGTTACAAGAAGCTTTTTAATAATGTTATTAAATATGTATATAAGAATAGCTATACTGTTATCAAATAAAGCTATATAGTTAAAAGATGATAGGATTTTATAATAGATAAAAATATAAATAAGTTGGTTGATAAGAAGTTTTGTGTAGAATTTTTTGATATGTTTAAGCAAACTAATAGATTTGATATTAGTTAAATTGCCATTAAAAATAGATTTTTTAGAAATAGAAAAAATTCTTTCTTTTTTTTATTGATTTAAAATTTGATCAGATATAAGACAGTAATTAAAAAATGCTGTAATTGTGTTAAAAAATACTGTTTTAGTATGTTTGAGTATCTTATAGCTAATATCTGATGGTCTACTTGCTTTGTTATTAGGAAGTTGATTAATAGTTTCAAGAACTTTTATGAAGAAAAATTTCTTAAATGCTAATTAATACTATGTAGAGTTAATATTAGATTTAGATTGGTATTTTTGTTGCTATATTGTATTGGATAATTGTAATTAAATGTTTCTAGAAGCTATCCAATTATCAAAATATTGTTAAATATGCTGTTTAATAAGTGATGGTTTAGTGATAATATTATTTAGTTCTTTAATGTTGTTAAATCTAACAGAATTTTTGTGTTAATTAAGTATATTATTAATTATTAATATTGAGCTCTTTTGAAGTTTAGTACACCTTTTAGCTATGTTATTATTAAGTTGTTCTCTTATAATTTTAATATTTTTTAAGTTTTAGGCATGATAAAGTATTTTCTATTCAGTATTAGTTGTAGTTATCTAGTCAGATAAGAGATTAGAGTTTTAAGACAATTTAGATATATTAATATAATTAAAAAAGTTAAGTTGGTGAATGTCTTGGTTGTGAAATATAGATACAAGAATGTGATTGCAAGTTAAAGCTTTAATCTGTCTAATAATATTTTTTAGTTTTTTAAGTTCTGAGTATAATTTGAATGTCTTAGAAAAAAAAATATGTTGAAAGTTACAAACAATAAATTTTTTGTTTAGGATATATTGAAGAGCAGCTGTAATAATACTAGTTTGAATTTTGTGTTAGAAGGTTTCAAGTGATTCTATAGTATTAGTTATAAAAGAAACATTGTTATTTTTAAGATTAAATATAACTTAGTGAAATTTGCCTAAAATCTTGGTTTATTTGTTTATAAACAAATACTTTATGCTTAGTTTTAGTTACTGATTATTATTTACTAGTAATAATATAAAGAAATTTCTAGAATAATATCAGTATATTATAATTACTAAGTGTACTTTTGTTAGTATCATCTATATAGTAAGAAGTTAGATATTAGATAATAAAATGATTAGCTTAGATATAATCAATATGACTACTATATCTGCTATTATACTATATAGGAGTTAAAGATTATATATATTTTGCTAAATCATATATATTATTTTTTTTTTTATTTTTTTTTTTAAGAAAGGTCTTTTCTCTAGTTCTTTATTTCAGAAATATATAATTAAGTATATTAGTACAAATTGATACATTAAACTAAAGAAGTAGGAGTTAGAGCTAATTTACTCTTAACTTATTCTTAGCTAGAATTATTAAGAGATCTCTAGTCTATAGGTTCAATAAGAGAAAATGTTTGATTAAATTGTATAAATTTATGAAGCCATATTGTATATTGTCTATTTATAGAAGTTATAGATATGGCATCATGTTTTCAATAGGGCTTAGTAAAAGTGAAAAGTAACATTAAAGATGTTGTCTGCTTGGTTTTCATATATGTTTATATATTTTTTTTGTAATTTAGTAATATATATTTGAAAGCAGGTTTGGCTTTTTCTTTAATAGTTCTAAGTTGGATAAGTGGTTGGATATAATTCTTATTAGAATTTTTTGTTTCATATGAATGTCTTGAATTTCTTAAGCTAAGTTAGATGTTATGAATGATTCAATTTTATTGTCTTTACAAATATTGGTAATTGCTTTTTTTATTATTTCTTTTAGTTCTACTTAATTGTAGAGGCAGGTTAGCATGTAAAGAATGTTTTCTGGTATATTAGAACATTTTGCACAATATGGATTAGTATGGGATTTTGGGTTCCTGTTGTGTAAAATTAGATGAGTTGAAAATTCTGAAGTTAAAATTTTGATTTTAAATGTTTTTAGTGAAGATTTTTTAGAATCAATGTTTTAACTTAGAGGTTTGTTTTGAAAGTTCTGATATGCAAATGTAAGTTTCTAGTTAATATTTAAGAGA